TTCTTTTCTATCAGGGCAAAATGTATGTTCTCGGACACGGTGAAGTTGGAATCATGATTCAGGTTATGTGGCTGGTTGCCCAGTAAATCAGCCCCTGCAGAATTTGTTCTGGGTCTCACTTGGAGAGTCGCTCAGAGACATAGTATCCATGATGTCACGGAGTCTATGGCCAGAGAACACAGTTCACAGCCATCGGGTCCAACTGTGGGCCCAGAATCCGTCCTGCCTGCCGAGCAACAGGTGGAGTGGACACCTCACGCGTCAGCTCAGGTCTCAGTATGTGGCACAGTATGAACATGTGGCACAGTGGCCGGCGGTTCTGCCTCAGCCTGTTCACCTTCTCAGTAGCTACCCCATCTAGGATGCGGACTCCCCCTGCACACCTCCTTGAAGGACAGGTGGGGGAAAGGGTGACTAGTACCCCACTGGGTTACCATGAGGGTGTATTGAGATACTGCAGGAAAAGCTCTAAGCACGGGCTGGCACATACTGAGCCCTCAAGCATGACGCTCTCAGCCGGTGCCATAGTTGCCACCATCTCTAGAACTATGGGGTCCCCCTCAGGGCCCACTCATACACTGCTCTTCTCCACGCTGGGAGACCCTGGCGCCTCTCCCTTCGTCAAGACCAGGTGGCTAGCAAACATCTCTACTTCCACCCCTCGAAATGATCTTTCCAGCTCTCATCCTGCGTGAGAACAACACCGCCTCCTGACCCCCACGCTGGCCAGTGTTTAGCTCCCGTGTTGGGGCGGGTTCTCCGTAAACCACCACTGTCCTGGAGTTGAAGGGAAATGGAAACAACTCTTGGAATAGCGAGACTTGCTTCTACAGGCACAGTGAAACGGAAAGGAGCGTTCTAGGATGAGTCACGGTGTACGACTGGCAGGTCCACCCAGGAAGGACACCTGGCGCTCGTCAGAGGGCAGGGATGAGGCCATGCCTTTCAGTTTTGGGCCCGATGTTATCAGTGGAATTCCACATGTGTGGAGAGAGGCAAGATATGCCTGGAAAGTTTCAATGTCTAGATGTGACACTCAGAGGTGTCCATTTTTGTTCTTCCTAACAATTGTATTTACTTGGTGATGTCCCACTTGTCCATATGGACACTGGTGATCTGTGGCAGCTTCATTTTACCAGCTCTTCCCAGGGAGACCTGAAGTCCTCTTCATGGAAACTTCTGTAAAAATATCGAGCTGTGCTCTACAGCTCAGTGGGTGCCACACCAGACAACTTCTCTGACAGGGAGAGAAGACGGAACAATCAAGGAATTATTTTTGCCTGTATAAATAACCAGCTTATCAGCTGTGACTCAATGTCAGGCTCTGAGCCAACAGGGCAATGGAAAACCAAATTAATAGCCCTACAGCCCTTACCAACGGCAGAAGGAAAATGGTACACCTCAGATGGAGGATATGGCTTTTGGTCTAAAAGCCCTAAAATGATATCTTTGAACCCAATGAAATGACATGAATTAAGAACTATTTTGGTTTGTAGAACGTCTTAAGTTGGATCCAACGGACAAGGAAACATCTCAATCTCTCATTATATAAAAGGCTAATATGAGATGGAGAGGCAAGAAGGATAGAAAGTAAAATGACAGAGGGAATTTCTTCACAAAGTAGTAACCAGTGAAACCTTTGGAAACAGTGCTTTCCTACCTGCTTGGGAACTCCCCCTGCCTGGTGGCCTTGGGCGCTCTTGGATGTGGACCAGATGTCCTTATGTTACCTGCTCTTTCTTGTTGGCTGAGAGAGATGAACCTCAGACCCATTCTTTCATTTTGTGTTGGATAATGGTCATTCATGCCCTTCTGTTCTCAATGAGTAGAGTCAAGGGGTGGACTGAATATCAAGGGACTCTTGGATAGTCATGCCAGGCAGGCCATGGCAGGGGTGTTCGGCCTCTTGGGTACTGGAGAGAATGACAAGCTCATGTTCTTGTAACTGGACCAAGGAATAGATTCCATTCTTGTCTGGTGCTTGGACACATGAACCAATGCAGCGAAAGAGACCTCATCTGTGAAGAAGAACCGAGAAAGGAGTGCGGGCAAGATTGTGAGAAGAAAATAGATTTGTGAACACCCCTTCTGATGATGGCTGCATCGTACAGTCCTACATGTTTCCCTCCCCACTTATAAAAATACCCTCTTTCTTATATCAAAGCCTGACAGGGAGAAGGGTGTCTTTCCCACTCTTTGGCCAAGAATTCCTCTGAAACGGGAGGTGACCCCAAAAAACTAGAACCAGAAACAGGGCAGTGGTTGCCTCTGAAGAATGGAACAGGCATGAGAGAGGTCGAGCTGCCTCTTTATTATAAATCCTTCTAGGTGCTGTTCTGTTTCGATTATATATAAATGTGGGCCTCGCCTCTCAATGTCCTGGACCCATTACCTCGCCTGGCTTAGTCCCAGGCTCACTCTCCCGTCCAGGGGGTGGGACAGGCCTCAGAGCTCAACTTCTCAGGAAACAGACCACAGTGGGGTCAAGTGATATGCTGAGCTCGCACGGCTGGATAGGGCAGAGCTAAAACCTCGGAGGTCCTCTAGCTCTTAATCTTCCCCTAGGGGCCTCAACTTAGCCTATCCAGCCTCCTGACTGGCCCGCCTGTGGCTCTCAGCCACTTGAAAAGAGCATTTGGTTTCTGGGGGCCAGAATCACTGCTGGCCACCGCTCCATGAGCCGGGGGAGCAGGGGAGAAACACAGGCTCTCCTGGTTTGGAGGAAGACAGCAGTGTGTCAAGACAGCGCTGAGGTGGGACTTGTGACAGCGATGACACCTGCCAACCTGATGGTGCCAGGCTCTCTGCCAAACACCTCACCAGAATTAGCTCACTTAATCTTCATGAATATTTATTTAAGAGGTAGGTAGTATTTCCCAACCCCCCTGGTTTACGGATGAGGAAACAGGCTCACTTTGAGAGTCAGGAATGAATCCAGACCTCGAAGCTACAAGCTCAGGGTTTTATCTCACGACACAGCCTATTAAATCCCTGTTTGGGTGATCAGGGCACCAAAGACGTCAAGATCGTAAGCTGCAGTACAGGGAATGCTTTAAACCAAGGTTGGCTGCTTCTGGATTTGTTGTCCTTTCTGGCTTCTGTCTGGGCACCAAGAGAGGCGAGGGAAGGGGTAAAAATAAGGGTGAAGGGGGAGAGGTTAGAAAGGGATCGAGGCAGAGAAGCAGATACAGGTCCCTCTGCCCTCGACTCGGGCTGAGGAGGCCCCTTTTGAGGGCTGCTCCACACCCAGCCTCGTGGAGGCTGCCGCAGAGGCAGGCGTCCTGCTCAGGACAAACCAAGAGGGCGCCATGGGCACCGCGTTTGCAATTGTTGACCTGAAACAAACAGGCAGGCAGAAATTTCTCCAGCAAAATTAGTTTATTTGGGAACAACGAAGAATTGCAATTCAGGACATGCAGCCTAATAGCAAACCATATGCAAGTTCAACGAAGGAGAGGAAGTTGTTTTACAGGAGAAGAGGAATTCAGGAGAGCTCAGATAAACCAAGAGTCCTTCCTGTTGGGCTATAGGACGGACAGGGTGGATGTAGGCAACTGAGAGCTCTCCCTTCTGGCCTTCCAACTTCATTTAAAAATTTTTTTGCCTTTGTTGATTTTAAAGAGACAGGAAGGGAGAGGGAGAGAGAGATAGAAGCAGTGATGAGAGAGAACATCAACTGGCTGCCTCCTGCACGCCCCCCACTGGGGATCGGGCCCACAACCTGGGCATGTGTCCTGGCTGGGAATCGATCAGACGACTTCTTAGTGCATGGGTTGATGCTCAACCACTGAGCCACACCAGCTGGACCCAACTTCATTTTAAATGAGGTTTCTGTTTATTAATTTTTACAGAATCAAGGTAGCATATTGGCACCTGTATAGTGACTGGCACAAGGTGTGGCTTTCTGCCCCCAAAAAAGCAAATTGCAAAAAAGCTGGCATAGCCCGAGCCCCTTTTGTAGAATGAATAACATTAAATAGTATTCACTTAAGAAAAAAAGCCTGGACATACAAAAAAAGTCGCAAACTCTGTGGTGGTCATCTGTAGAAGGTTCAGATTAGAGGAATTTTAAACTTCTGGTGTTTTGTATATTTCTATAACATTTACTTGTTTAACAATGCTCCTGCAATATTTTGTTAATCAGAATGACAGACCGAAAAAATTGTTTTTAAGAAGTGGGAGTTACCCCCATCCTCCACCCATCATTCTCCAATTTTACAAAACAACCAGTATGTGCAGGTAACTCCACCCTATGTTGCCAGGAAGCGTTTATGCATAAAAGATTTTTTTCCTGAATGTGTATGTTTAATTATTAAAGAGATGTTGTTAATCCTGTCAGATAAGTTTAACGTTTTGTTTGAGAACTGATACACTGAAGGGTTTGTCCCTTGACTTTGCACATCATGGTTCCATAGGCGTCAAAGGGAAAAATGGAATAAAAGGGCAAATCGTATGGCTTTGTTTTGTTTGCAGGACTGTATCTGATGCTTAGACCTGAAACACTTTTACTATTTGTGACAGCTAACCTGCTTCCCTTATTGTCAAGCTCGGGAAAATAGATTGCTGTTATAATTACTGATTCAGTGAGAAAGAGACTTGGTAAGAGGTGAAATGAAAAGTAAAATCCATGGTCTGAGAAACTGAGTAGCACTGGTGGCGGGGGTGGGGGGAAGGAGGCCACAGGAGGGACTGTGGGAAGGGTGAGGATAATCAGGGTGGGCTTCCTGGAAGAGGTGGGCGTGTTTGGGAGCAGTAAAGAGGAGGGCATCTCAGGAGGAAGGCAGATTAAGTAAGAGGGCAGGAGCTCAGTGGGCCAGGCCTAGTGTGGGGCCCATGTGCCCTGTTCCCTTTTTCCCCTGAGAGTTGGGGTCCCCATCTGTGCTATGACAAAGCTGGGTGAAAGGCCCCATCTACTGCAATTCTGAACTCTGCCCAGGAATTTCCAATGAAATGAGAACACAGGCCAAAGTGCAAGCAGATTGGACTCAGCTTGTCTTCACAGAAATACACGTTTCCGCCTGTCCCCGAGAGTGGCTTGTTCACCACAAATATGTGAGTAGGAAGCGGAGCCTGGCTCCCTCTGTGCAGCTGTGTGTCTGCGTGTGTGTGTGCATGAGCAGCTGGGCTTTCCCAGGCCCCACCTGTATCTACACTTCCATTCTGTCCCTGCTCTTGTGTGCACGCCTCTGGGTATGTGAGCTTACCCAGGCTGGTGTTTGGATAGTGTAGGTTGCTGCTCAACGGGAAGAAAAAGAGAGGGAACAGGGGTGGGGAGAGATGGGGTCTAGGACTCTTATTTACAGGTGAGTTTAAGCCTATGAACTGAGCTTCAGTTAAAAAAAAGGGGGGGGGATGGTGTTGGCTCTTGTAATTGGAAAGTCCAGGGGTAGGGCTGATTTCAGGTACAGTAGGATACAGGGACTGGAATGAAGTCCTCAGGACACTGTGTCTCCACCTGTCAGAGGTGGGACAGGACCATGAAATGAAGATATCTCTTAATGGCAATGGTTTTAATGTATTGTGGGGAGTGTCGAAAGCTATGGCCTCTTTTCAGAAAGCTGCCTATATCAGGTACACGTACATGCTGCACAGAATTCCTTCCTTTCCTTTCCTGGGAAGTGGGCAGAATGTCCCTGTTTCTGCCTGGCCTCTCGGATTTATGAGAACTCACCTCTCGCAGGTTCAGAAGCGAGTGCAGGAAGGGATGCCTTCCTCTGTTCCTGGGGAGTCATGGCCACGGCCCCCAGACACGATGAGGGTGTAGCTCTGGGATGGTACGGGCAGTGCCAGGTGTCTGGTGCCCCCTACCAGCCCTCTCCCTTCCCAGCCTCCTCTCTTCTCCAGGCCCCTCCCTGGGCTCTGCTTGGCTCAGCTCTGGGCCCTGACTTTGCCTTCCAGCTGAAGGCCTGGCGCATGGAGGAAGACGCAAGACCCAGAGAGTCCATTTGTCTCGCATCCGTAGCCAGTGGTCTGGACAACATGGGGGCTGAGCTCTCGGAAAGCCTGGTGTGTCCCCTTCCCCGTGCCTGTTTTGGGCCCCTAGTGGGAAGGGCCTCTGTTCTCCATCTTCCTTCACTCCCCCCTCACCTCTTCACTTAAATAGTTAGGACCTACCCCCAGCCCCCGACTCCCAATGTGCTGGGTGGGGATGGGGGTATCTAGGGAAGTCTCAGCCTTTGAGGAGCTGGCAAGCTTGTCCTTGGCTCCAGAATGGCCAGGCTGGGGCCTGACCCCTAGAACTCTGAAGCCTAAAGTGACACCTTCCTTCCCAACAGCCCCTGACAAAATCCCCTCCCCTTCACCACACTATGCAACCTAGGGTGCGCCTTTCACATTGGAATTTGCAAGAATAACCCTCCTATATATCAGAATACAACTCCACAGACTGTGGGGTTATTGGTGTCCTGGGGCTATTTGACCAGGTGGTTCATGCCTGGGATTCCCACCAGCCACAGCTCAGACCCAGCTTGTGTCCCTCCCTCAGGCAGGCCATGAGCTCCTGAGGACAGGATGTGTCTAGCTCAGAGCCCAGCACACAGTATGTGCTCAATGCATGCTCTGCAGAATCTAAGTTGCCCTGTAATTACTTCCTGTGCAAAAGCCCAGTCCCCACTCCAGCCAACTCCTGAGGTGACTCTCTGGTGGCTTTAGGAGGGAGGCCAGACCCCAGGAAACGACTTGAGCCCTGCAGAGGACAGGAACAGTTGGAGCAAAGCCAACCAGGAGCCCTTCTCAGGATGGTAGGTGGTCTCCAGGAGGGGACGTGGGCTGGCTCGGGGAGCAGGGCGGGGGAACCTGGTCTCGAACACATAGAAAGGCAATGCCCTGAACCTGGCTGAAGAAAGGAGAAAACATGCTTTAGCCAATGAGTGCGCTCTGCTGGCCCCTGCCTCAGAGGTGATCCAGGCCAGAGGCTCCCAGCATGCTTTGAAGCGGCTAGAGTGAAATCCCATTGGAAACCCCAAAATATGCTGTTGGGCTGCTCTGGTTGAAGTTGGAGGGGACCCCCAAACTAGGCTGGCCTCTTCTCAACCTCCCCATCTGCCTTCTACCACATTCAGTCTCTGGGCACCTTGGGGAACCTTGAGTCTTAGGTTGCAAACCCCTGGTCTTAGCCAGGCCTCTCTTTTCACATGGGAAGGCTGAAGCCCACAGTGAAAGGGATGGCCCAGGCCACACAGGCATCAGGAAGGAGCCTAGAACTTGGCCTCTCAATACCTAGACCCACTGGGGTCCTTGCTGGCCAGGTCTGAGTTGAGGAGAGCAGGACGTGTGGTGGTGGTGGTGGTGGTGGTGGTGGGGATTCCATCCGTGTGCCTTAGGGGGCAGAATGGAGAAGATGCCCTTAGGAGGTGGTGGGGGGACAGAGATTGAGAAGAGAGAGTCTTTAAAACAGCAGCTGATGCCTGATGAACTGAGTGTTCAGCCTGTGGGATCCCGGAGGCTATTCCGATTCCAGCCTTTACTACAGGGGCCAGGCAAGAGCTGGCATTGGCACTGGGCCTGGAAGGCTGTGGGCCACAGCTGCCGGGCATGGGGTGGGCTGTGCAATGACAAGTGTCCCAGGTCCCAAGGGAGACAATGCAAAGTTGGGAGCCTCTGCCCCTTGTCCCATGGATGGGGAGGGGAGGCAGCCTGCATGGCTCGTGCATATTGTGTGGTTGCTATTTGCTGGTAAGTTCTTCCTTTCACCATAGTTAATTCCCTCCCAGCCCTGCAGGAGGATTATCCTTGGGTGGTGCTGATGCTGTAGGCGGAGGCACAGAGACACGGGAAGGCACGGATGGCCTAAGACTTTCCTCAGTTTTCTCTGGTCTGGGGTTGTTCTTCAGCCCTGTGCGATGCAAGGCCAGTGCCTGGCTCACTCCACGTTGCCATTTTACTGGGGTGGCTTCCGTCTGGAGGTGTCGAGGACCTCCACGGGGACGGGAGTCTGCGGGCCCCTCATGGACCCTCGTCTTCCCCCCAGGAGGATCCTGCAGCCAGCCATGGAAGTGAGACGCTTCTGCAGGGAGCACACACAACTCTTTCGGTGGATCTTCAAAGGCCTGCTCTGTACCGGTGAGCCTGGGGCCTAACCCCTCTGGGGACACCCCTGCACCAGCCCCTCCCACCCCACCTCCCATGTCAGCCACCTCCACCCCAGCCATTCACGTTTCAGGGTAGGGTTGTTCACTTACCCGGTGATTCAACAGAGCTTTGTTGAGCACCAGCTCAGGGCCAGCTCCCGTGCCAGAAGCAGGGTCATCAGAATTAAGGCGGACCAGATCTTGTTTCCAAGGCACTCTGATCAGTAAGGGAGAGGGCAACAACTATTTCCACATAGCGCAAGTCACCAGGGAGCACCAAGGATAGACGGGGGTGATCAGGGAGGACTTCCAGGAGGAGGAGACACCTGAGTCTCACAGACTGAGCAGAGTTAGCCAGGGGGAGGGGGAGGACAAGGAGTAAGAGGGCGCTCATGCATAGGAACCCCAGGAGCAAAGGTGAAAACAGGCAGGATGTTTTCAACAGTCTAGCGTGGCTGGAGGGTAATGCTCTAGACAAGGAGACAGAGGACAGGCTGGGTGGGTGGGAAACAGCTGGTATTGACTGTGTCAATGTGAGAACATCCAAACCTGTAGAGAATTATTTTTATTATCCTCACCTGAGGACATTTTTGCATTTATCTTCAGATTGAGCGGGAGGGAGAGAGGGGGAAAGAGAGAGAGAGAAACGTCGATGTGAGAGAGACACGTCATCTGGCTGCCACCCACACAACCCCAACCGGGGCCAGGGACAAACTGCAACCGAGGTACGTGCCCTTAGCGGGAACCGAACCTGGGACTCTCTGGTCTGTGGGCCAATGCTCTAACCGCTGAGCAAAATCAGCCAGGGCTATAGAGAATTTTCATAATAATTAATTTGAGCCAAACAGAGGATACACCTAGAAGCAAGATCTCAACAGACAGAGAAAAAATACTTCTGAGAATAACACTTGGCAGTTACTTTTCTGCAGTTGAGATTAGGGAGGAAATGTAAGGAAGACTACATAAAGGTGGGAGAAAGCTAAGTACGGACCCTCCAACTAGTCTGGCAGCAGAGGGAGTGGGGGGCGGAGCTTACACTTACAGTGTTTCGTCTCACATTTTTTATCCGATGGAAAGGTTATGCATCCTTTCCATTCTGCAGGGGCCCTGGCTTTCGAAATTCATAAGCCAGGGAGACATTTCCCCTCTGCTATCTATCATATTCTTTTCTTGAGGCATGGCAGAGACTGGCTTAGCTTCTCGAAAGGGAGAAGGGTAAGTGGGAAAAGAAGGTTCCAGTAAGAAAATGGTCACTGATTAATATTTCAGAATGAGATCCTGGCACAAACGAGTGCACACCCTCCTAGAGTAACTGATTTTTCTCATCTCCAGGTCAGGGAACTGAGGCTCGGAGGGGTTGGGTGAAATCCCTGCCCTCCAAGCTCTGGATGGAGTAGATGGAGCAGAGGGCGGGGCTGCGGGGCCTGCAGAGGCCGACGTCATCGTCCCTGACCTCCTTCTCATACTTTCCCCATCTGCGCCCAGCATTTGCTGCCTTCCTGCTGATTGCTTGCCTCCTGGATTTCCAGAGGGCCCTGGCCCTGTTTGTCCTCACCTGTGTGGTCCTGGCCTTCCTGGCCTACAGCCTGTTGAAGAGGCTGCTGGGGCCAAAGCTGGTGAAGTGTGCCCTGCCGCTGAGGCATTCCCGCCTGAAGCTCTGGTTTAAGAGGTGAGTGAGCTCACAGCCCCCAGATGGGGCCGGATGGGAAGGAGGTGGCACATTGGCTGAGGGTCTCTGAGGTCACAGCTCGGGATGAGTGAGGAGGGCCTCCGTCCATCCCACCAGACAGTGTCTGTGCCGCGGGGAACATACCCCACCCCGCTTGCCCTTTCGATGCCCCAGGGCAAGTGTTGCTGGGTGCCTTCCAAGGTGGCAGCAATCTGTGTGCAGATTTGCCAGTTCCCGTCTGGTTCTCTGTCCCAGTTATAACAGGTGACAGCAGAACACAGGACTCATCAACAGATCCCAGCCCATCCCAACAGGGAGGGCCCCTATCAGGGCCTCCTAGCAGATCACCTGGGACATGTCTGAGACATACAGCTGCTGGGGACCACCCCTGGAGTCTGATTCAGCAGGCTAGATTGGGGTCCAGGTGTCATTATTTTTAGGTAGCCTCAAGGGGATTTTGATGTGTGGCCCTCGACAACAATCTGGGATCCCTTGGTTTTCAAACCGGTTTCCTTAAAGCTCTGGAAATCTTGAAGATGCCAAAGGGTGGGAGAGGGAGTTAAAGAGAGAAATATCAAACACCACCTCCCCTCCCGCCCCATTTTAATCAGGCAGCTCTATTTATCTATTTTCTTTTTTTTTAAATCCTCACCCGAGGATTTTTAAAAATGTTTTTATTGATTTTTTTTTTTTTTTTTAGAGGGAGAGAGAGAGCTAGAAACATTAATTGGCTGCCCCCACACAGTCCCCACTGGGGATCGAGCCCACAACTAGGGCATGTGCCCTGATCAGGAATCGAACCGGTGACCTCCTGGTTCATGGGTCAACACTCAACCACTGAGCCACACCAGCTGGGTCTGAGGATATTTTCCCATTTATCTTCAGATGGAGTGTGAAGGTTGTGGGGGGTGGGGGGTAGAGAGAGAGAGAGAAAGAAACATCAATTTGAGAGAGAGACATCGATTGGTTGCCTTCAACACAACCCCAACCAGGGCTAGGGATCGAACTGCAACCAAGGTACATGCCCTTGACCAGAATTGAACCCACGACTCTGGGCCATCGCTCTAACTTCTGACACTCAAACTGCTGAGCCAAACCGGCCAGGGCTATTTATCTGTTTTATAAACCAAAGTTGCACACACACACACACACACACACACACACACAAATTTAGCTGGCAACGAATATTTCTATTGTTCTAACAAAAAGTCTGAAGAGCACCTGTCTATTTCAGTACTCTGTTTTGTTAATGAAGAAACTGGTGTGCAAGGATATCCAATGACTGAGCCAGGGAGGTACAGGGCACAGTGATGTTTCTCACAGTTAATGATGTGAGCCAGCGTACAGATGAACACATTTTAAATCTTATTTGCAAGTAGATTTGCTTTTACATTTATCTTCTGCTTATTAAGTCGGTTTTTTAAAGGACTTGTTTTTAACAATCATCTTCTATGTATGACAAATAGATACTTGTTTTTCTATTTGAGGTATTGATACACCATTTTCTTTAAGAAACACATGCAGAGAAATTAGACTACATAAAAACAAAATACTTGTTGATTCGAAGGACACCATTAAGATAGTGAAAAGGCAGTCTCAGAATGGGAGAAAATATTTGCAAATTATATATCTGATAAAGGATTTGTATCTAGAATTTTACCTCAAAAATAAAAAGACAAATAACCCAACTGAAAAATGGGAAAAGGATTTGAATAGACATTTCTCCAAAAGTAATCAAATAGCCAATAAGCACATTAAAACATGCTCAACATCATTAACCATCATACTAATCTTGCAAATAAGATGCAAATTAAACCACAATGAGATATCACTTTACATCCATTAGGATGGTAAAGACAGATGATAATAAATGTTAGCACAAATGTGGAAAAATACACTGTTGAGCCCTGGCCAGTTTGGCTCAGCGGTTAGAGCGTCGGCCTGCGGTCCAGAGAGACCCGGGTTCGGTTCCCGCTAAGGGCGTGTACCTCGGTTGCAGTTTGTCCTCGGCCCTGGTTGGGTCGTGTGGGTGGCAACCACTTGGTGTGTCCCTTTCACATTGATGTTTCTCTCTCTCTCTCTCTCCCTCCCACTCTATCTGAACAAAAAATGGAAAAATGTGGTGAGGATAAAAATAAATAAATAAATAAATACACTGCTGATAATAATGTAAAGTACAGCCCAGCCAGTGTGGCTCAGTGATTGAGTGTTGACCCATGCACCAAGAGGTCACCAGTTCGATTCCTGGTCAGGGCACATGACCCGGTTGTGGGCTAAATCCCCAGTGAGGGGGCATGCAGGAGGCAGCCAATTGATGTTCTCGCTCATCAATGTTTCTATCTCTCTCTCCCTCTCCCTTCCTATCTCTCTAAAATCAATAAAGAAAATAAATTTTAAAAAAAGAATGTAAAGTGTAGCTGCTTTAGAAAACAATTAGTTCCTCAAAATGTTAAACATGGAGTAACCATATGATCCTGCAATTCCACTGCTAAGTATTTACCTAAACGAAATGGAAACATATCCATACAAAAACCTATACACAAATGTTCATAGCATCATTATTTATAATAGTCAAAAAGTAGAAACAACCCAAATGTCCATCAGTGATAAATGGATAAACAAAATATGTATATCCATATAATGGAATATATAAAAGGAATGTAGTACTGATAAATACTATAATAATGATGAGACTTTAAAACACTATGTTAAGTGAAGTCAATCACAAAGAAATACATATTGTATGATTCCCTTTGTATGAAATGTCCAGAATAGGCAAATCTATAGAGACAGAGAGTACATTAGTGATTGACTAGGGTTAGGGGGATGGGAGTATGGGGAAGCAAGGGGTATGGGTTCCTCTTTGGGCTGGTGAAAATATATATTGATTCTTTTAGAGAGAGAGATAGAACACTGATGATGAGGGAAACATCGACTGGCTGCCTTCTGCAGGCCCCCTATTGGGGATCAAGCCCACAACCTGGGCATGTGTCCTGACCAGGAATCAAACTGGAACCTCTCAGTCTGTGGGATGACGCTCAATCCACTGAGCTACACTGGCCAGGCCTAATGAAAATGTTTTAAATCTGATTGTGGTGATGGTTGCATAACTCTGTGAGTGTACTAAACACCACTGAACCATACATTTTAAATGGGCAAATCGTATGGTATATAAATTTTGTCTCAAAAAAAAAACCCCCAAAAAACTCTTTATAAAATACATTTGAGTTCAGCTTCCAGTCAAGATGGTGTAACCGAGACCAGGTTTATTTTCCCACTTGAAACAACTAAAAACCGGAACAAATATATGAAATAATAGCTCTTCATATATTGGGCACCAGGCAGCAAGGGACAGCAATCCTTGAGGAACAGGAACAGGAACAGATGAGGTGAACCCTATGATTGCCCAGCTCACTGCACTGAGAGTTTCTAGGCCACACTGGAGGGAGGGGGCATTGGGGCAGGACCTGGAGATTTCCTGAGCTGAGGAGACAGAGCTGGAAATGCAGGCGAGCCAAGGCATCTGGGATCAGCTTGTAGAGTACCAGAGACGAGAGAGCTGCACAGAGGGAAACCCCTAGAGACCCGTAGAGGTCCTCCTCGAATATTCGGTTGAGTTCTGATTTGTGGATGGATATGAGGAAACTATCCAAGGCCTGGAAAAGAACCACGCAAAAAAATCAGAGGGAATAGTGCCGAGAAATCACACAGGGCTAGCAATAGTGTTTATTCTTAACAGCCAGAGTGACAGCTCATAATTCACAGGGTATTGCTAAGAGTACTAAGAAGGGTCTTGGCTCAGTAGTAGGGAATAATTAACCATAGAATAAACCCTGCTCAGGCCCTGCCTTGACAAATCTTAAAAACAAAACTTGAAAGAGTCAAACAGTACGTCATTTAACCCACGGCACAACTTTAAGTGGGCGAATATTCATGTGATCGAAGTCTCCAAAGAAAAAAGGGGAGAAGGAAATAATACTTGAAGAAATAATGTCCCCCAAATCCCAAATTTGATGAAAATTGAAACCTAAGGATCCAAGAAACGCCATAAATCCCCAACATAAGAAGCGTGAAGATATATACAAAAGCTGAAAGAATTTTTCAGATGTAAAAATTTATGCTTGTGCCCTGGCCAATGTGGCTCAGCAGTTGGAGTGTTGGCCCACAGACCTAAGAGTTGTGGGTTCGATTCTGTTCAAGGGCATATACCTCAGTTGCAGTTTGGTCCCCAGCCCTGATTGAGGTTGTGTGAGATGCAACCAGTTGATGTGTCTCTCTCACATCGGTGTTTCTCTCTCTCTGTCTCTCTCTCTCCCACCCTATTTGAAGATGTGGGAAAAAAAAATCCTCTCTCTTCCACTCTCTTAAATCAATAAAAAAAAATATTGCAGGCTTTTTGGGTAGAAGTCTAAAAATCATATGGAAATACAAAGAACCTAGAATAGCCAAAACAACTTTGAAAAAGGTGAACAAAGTTGATGAATTTATGTTACCTGTCTTTAAAACTTATTGTAAAGCTACAGTAATCAAGACAATGTGGTACTGGCATCAAAACAGACAAATGGATCAATGGAACAGAATAGAGAGTCCAGAAATAGATCCACATGTATATGGTTAATTGATTTTTGACAAGGATGCTAAGGCAATTCTGCGGGGAAAAAGTTTTCATCTCAACACAATCTGCTAGAGTAATGGGACATCCATAGGCAAGAGAAGCAGGAAGAGGAAACAGAGAAAGAAACAAAAGAACTTTGATCCATGACTCACATTATGTAAAAAATTAACTGAAAATGTGTCTCTCTCACATCAATATCTCTTTCTCTCTTCCTTTCTCTCTCTCCCTTCTTCCCACTCTATCTGAAGATAAATGGGGAGGGGGGGAATAAAAAGAAAAACAACCCAATATAATAATGGGATTAAGATTTAATGGGATTAAGACATTGAATTAAACAAGATATATAAGTGGTAAATAAACAAATGGGAAGATGCTCAACATCAAACATCATTAATTATTACAGAAATGAAAATTAAAACCCAAAGTGATACTACTGAATTCCCATTAAAATAGCTAGGATTTGAAAAATTGAATACCAAGTGTTGGCAAAGATATGGAGGAACTGGAACTCTTATATACAGCTGGTAAGAATATAAAATTGTCCAATCACTTTGGAAAACAATTCGGCAGTCTACTAAAAGGTTAGACCTACTGTATGATTTACCCATTTCATTTATAGTATTTACCCAAGAGAAATGACCAAGACTTGCACATGAACGTTGGAATGTTCACAGCAGCTTTGTCTGTAATAGCCAAAAACTGGAAACAATCTAAATGTCCATCAGTAGGTGTATGGATAAGCCAACTGTGATGTGTCTACACCACAGACTACTACTCAGCAATAAAAAAAAGAATGAGCTATCAATACACGCAAAAACGTAGATGAATTTCAAAATAATTATACTGAATCAAGAAAATCAGGCAAAAAAAGAATATGTATATGCTGGATGAGTCCATTTATATAAAATTCTAGAAAATGCAAATTAATCTGGTAACAGAAAAACAGATTGGTTGTTGCCTGGGAACAAGGAGGAAGGCAAGGTGCTAAGCTCTGTACACACATCCGATTTAGTCCTCTCCCAACCTCAAGAAATGGGGAGTCTGGCTTCCTTTTCCCAGTGAGGAAATTAGACTCAGAGAGGCTAGGTGGTTTGCTTGAAGTCACACAGCTCTCTGTCTTCTCCCACAAGCCCTGAGTGCCCTTTCCCTGGGGACCAGGTGGGCTATTGTGGGGGGGTAGGGAAGATGCTGAGGGTGATTTCTTTCTGCCTTTCCCCCCGCAGGGGTCTAGCCCTCGCTGCTTTCCTGGGCCTGATCCTGTGGCTAGCTCTGGACACTTCCCAGCGACCTGAACAGCTGGTGTCCTTTGCAGGAATCTGCGTGTTTATCATCGTCCTCTTTGCCTGCTCAAAGCATCATCTCTCAGTGAGTGCTTAGTTGTCAGGCCCGAGTGGGTCACAGCCCCTTCTCTCTCTTTGCCTCCTTGGCGGTACAACCACCCTGACAGCAAGACCCTTCCTGGTTTCATGGTGTGGCTACCACCTTCCCCCAGGGCAAGCCTCCCAGAGATCCTGATGCACACCTGAGTTCGGGGATCATCACTAAGGAGTCATTAAATGCTGAGAGGAGTCCAGCTCCCCTCTGCTGGACTAGGACAGCTGGGGGCCCTGCCTATGAAGAAGAAATGGGGGGAGGGCCCAGAAACACAGAGGTTTCACTGAGGCCAGACCCCAAGGCCACAACTCCATCCACACGATGATGACCCAGGACCAAGCGCCATGGCATGCTCAAGGCTGGTCGGGGCTTACATGGGTCCTCAGTTAGACCTTGCCCACCCCTGCCTATTGCTCCAGGCTTATTGCTGCCAAGAGTATGGCCTATTATAAATTCCAGGTAGGATGTGACCACTGGCAATAAGTCTAGACCTCTGACTATGTCCAGCCCTATCCTATAGGTAGGCCAAAGCTCCTGTAGATCCTTAGAGCAGCCCCATGCCCTCTGCTCTCACCCCCTCCCCCCGGAACTGAGCTCACCAGGACCTCTCTATATTGGTGGCAGGTATCTTGGAAGGCCATCTCCTGGGGTCTTGGGCTACAATTTGTACTTGGACTCCTTGTCATCAGAACAGAACCTGGATTTGTTGCGTTCCAGTGGCTGGGCAACCAGATTCAGGTATGTACATGGACCTGGCTTCCCAGGGCATCTTGGGTTGCCATCAAGTGGAGGAGAGCCATTTTGTTGGGGGAAGGTGGATGGTGAGGCCTCAGGGAGGGATTGGGACCAGGATGGTTGGTGTGTAGTGGGCCTTAGACCAGGTGGGCAGTTGGGGGCTGGGCTGTACAGCTGCTTCTTCCCTCAGTCCTGGTGTGACCAGACAGAGCGGTCTCCTCAGAGGCTGGGTCTGATACAGGAGAGTCTCAGAACAGGGATGTTCTTAGGGTACCTGGACACAAGACATGTGGCTGTGGGCAGTCATTAGTGATGTGGAACTTACAGTAGTTAAAAGTGCTTTAAAAATTTCAAATGATTTACTGTGTGTGTGTGTGTGTGTGTGTGTGTGTGTGTGTTTAAGGGTAATGTTTAAATAAAGGCCTACCTCAAGAAACAAGAAAAATTTCCAATAAACTATCTAACCCTGCAACTTAAAGATTTAGAAAGAGAACAAAAAGAAAAGCCCAGAGTTAGTAGAAGGAAGGAAATAATAAATATCAGAGCAGAAATAAAGGACATAGAGATGAAAGAAACAATACAAAAGATCACTGAGACCAAGAGTTGGTTCTTTGAAAAGATAAGCAAGAGTGATCAACCTTTAGCCAGACTCACCAAGAAACAAAGAGAAAGGACCCAAAGTAATAAAATCAGAAACGAAAGAGGCAAAGTAACAACTGACACCACAGAAATACAAAGGATTTTAAGAAAATATTATGAACAATTATATGCCAACAAATTCTACAACCTAGGTGAAATGGACAATTTCCTAGGATCATACAGACTTCCAAAACTCAACTGGGAAGGGTTAGAAAACTTGAATAGACCAATAACAACTAAGGATATAGAAGCAGTAATAGATAAACTCCCAGCAAACAAAAGCCCTGGTCCAGAGAGCTTCACAGGGGAGTTTTCCAAACATTCAAAGAAGAACTAACACCTATTTTCCTCAAACTATTCCAAAAATTTCAAGGGGAAGGAATACTTCCAAACTCTTTTTATGAGGCCAGCATAATCCTTATCCCCAAACCAGATAAAGATACTACAAAAGAAAAAAATTATAGGCCAATGTCCCTGATGAACATAGACACCAAAACTCTCAACAAAATTTTAGCAAATTGGATCCAGCAATATATTTTAAAAATTTTACACCACAACCAACTGGGATTTATCCCAGGGATGCAAGGCTGGTACTATATTCGCAAATCAATAAATGATACACCACATAAACAAATTGAAAGATAAAAATCATATGATTATATCAATAGATGTGAAAAAGTATTTGACAAAATTCAGCACCCATTTTTGATAAAAAAAAAGAAAGAAAGAAAGAAAGAAAGAAAGAAAGAAAGAAAGAAAGAAAGAAAGAAAGAAAGACTCTGAGCAAAGTGTGAATAGAAGGATCATACCTCAACATAATGAAGACCATATATGACAAACCTATAGCCAACGTCATAGTCAGTGGGCAAAACTAAAAGCATTTTCATAGGAACAGGAACAAGACAGGATGTCCACTTTCACCACTCTTATTCAACATAGTGCTGGAAGTCTTAGCCACAGTGATCAGACAAAAATAAAAAATAAAAGGTACCCAAATTGGAAAGGAGGAAGTGAAACTGTCATTATTCACAGATGACATGATATTGTATATAGAAAAACCTAAAGACTCCACCAAAAAACTACTAGATTTAATAAATGGCCAAGAGACATATGAAAAAATGCTCAATGTCACTAATTATCAGAGAGATGCAAATCCAAATGACTACGAGGTAGCCCTGGCCGACTTGGCTCAGTGGTAGAGCATCGGCTTGTGGACCAATGACTTGTAGGTTTTATTCCAGCCAAGGGCACAGCACCTCAGTTGCATTTCTTCCCCGGCCCTGGTCGGAGTCATATGGGAGACAACCAGTCAATGTGTCCCTCTCACATCGATGTTTCTCTCTCTATCCCTTTCTCTCCCTCTCTTTCCCTTTCGCTCTATCTGAAGATAAATAGAAAAGTATCCTCGGATGGAGATTTAAAAAAATGGCTATGAGGTATTACCTCACACTTGCCAGAATGGCTGCCATCAACAAACCATCAAACAAATACTGGCGAGGGTGTGGAGAAAAGGGGACTCTAGTACACTGCTCGTGGGAATGCAGACTAGTGCAATCACTATGGAAAACAGTATGGTGTTTCCTCAAAAAATTAGAAATGGGACTACCAGTAATTCAACTTCTAGGAATATATTTTAAGAAGCCTGAAACACTAATCAGAAAGAATATATGCACCCCTATGTTCATAGCAGTACTATATACAATAGCTAAGATCTGGAAAAAGCCCAAGTGTCCATGACTAGATGAGTGGATAAAAGAGCTATGGTACACATATACACAGTGGAGTACTATGCAGCTGTAAGAAAGAAAGATCTCTTACCCTTTGAGATGATGCGGAGGGACCTGGAGAGCATTATGCTAGGCAAAATAAGCCAGTCAGAGAAAGACAAGTACCACGTGATCTCACTTATTTGTGGAATATAATGAACAGAATAAACTGAATAGATCCAGAGACATGAAACTAAGGAACAGACGGACAAACTCCAGAGGGAAGGGGGGTGGGACAGTTGGAAGAGATCAGCCAAAGAACTTATATGCATATATGCATAACCAATGGACGCACAACAGTGTGATGAAGGGGGTTGGGGGTTGGAGTGGGGTGGAGGATGTCAGTGGGGGAAGAAGGAGGGACATCTGTAAAAAGAAAAATAAAGCAAAAGCATGTTCTTTAAAAAATCACACACACAGCCCTGGCCGATTTGGCTCAGCGGTTAGAGCGTTGGCCCGCAAACCAGAGAGTCCCGGGTTCAGTTCCTACTAAGAGCATGTACCTCAGTTGCAGTTTGTCCCCGGCCTTGGTTGGGGTCATGTGGATGGCAACCACTCGATGTGTCTCTCTCACATTGATGTTTCTCTCTCTTTTCCTCCCTCTCTCCCTCCTGCTCTGTCTGAAGATAAATGCAAAAATGTCCTCGGGTGAGGATAAAAAAAAAAAAAAAATCACACCCACAAAAATAAATAAAGGTAATATTTATTTTAATTTTTTTTCCCCTAACACCATTTATTCACTCTATGCCTACTTCCACCTCCACCCCCAACCCCAAGGTAATGTTTAGCTTGTTGAAGTTATATTTTTTTGTTTTTTGTTTTGTTACTCCTTACTCAAGGATATTTTTTCCATTGATTTTTGAGAGAGAGAGAGAGAGAGATAAAGAGAGAGAGAGAGAGAGAGAGGTGTGAGAAAGACACATCCCACACGACCCCAACTGGGACTGGGATCAAACCTGCAACCGAGGTACATGCCCTTGACGGGGAAATCAAACCTGTGATCCTACAGTCCACGGGCTGACGCTCTAACCACTGAGCCAGTGTGGCGAGGGCACCGCTCGCTGTATTTCTCCCTTCGTTGTTTCTTTATTCTCCAAATAATTCTCATCTCAGAGTGTTTCTTTTTATTTTTTTTTATCCTCACCCGAGGACATTTTTCCATTTTTTGTTCAGATAGAGCGAGAGGGAGAGAGAGAAACATCGACGTGAAAGGGACACATCGAGTGGCTGCCACCCGCACAACCAACCAGGGCCGGGGACAAACTGCAACCGAGGTACATGCCCTTAGCGGGAACCGAACCCGGGTCTCTCTGGACCGCAGGCCGACGCTCTGACCGCTGAGCCAAACCGGCCAGGGCTCAGAGTGTTTATTTACAGTGTATTGAAGGTTGTCTTCCGGAGGACATGCGTGGGAGGGGAGAGTGGCCAGGAATGGGGCTTTAAAGGCGTCCAGGTGGCTCCTCAGCCCCGATAGGGCTAAAACCTGGGGAACCAGTCCTTGAACCAACCTGCTTGGGGGTGTGAGGACCCTCTCCCCCTGGCCTCACTCCAGAGTTTGTTTTGTTTTCTCCTTTCAGATCTTCCTGAGCTACACCGAGGCTGGCTCCAAGTTCGTGTTTGGGGAAGCTCTGGTCAAGGATGTCTTTGCCTTTCAGGTCAGCTGACTCTTGGTCGTGTGGCCTTCACACCCTCTGCCAGGCGCTTCCAGCTACTAGGGCATCTGAGCAAGCTGTGGGGGGCAGGCCTTGGGGGCGTCCTAGAAGCTAAGGAAGCTTAAGCCTCAGGTCCTGGGAGGGACCCTGGCAATGTGATCACATGTCCTCTGGTATGTTTTCACTTATGTTAGCCGCATCCTTCATCTTTTCTCCCTTTCTGGAGGAATATGCACACGCCTGCTGCTTGCATCTCTCCCCTAAACCACCTTTAGAACCATGAATTCATAGACCGTCAGGCTAACAAGGATGCTCAGTGATCTTGGGTCTCCTCTTCATATTGGAGGAGGTCACACCAAGGCCAGAGAGGAGCAGTGACCTGGCCACAATCACCCAGTGAGTTAGGGCAGAGCCAGGCCTAGAGCTGAGTTGTTGGACTTCCAGTCGAGTGATGTTTCTTCCTCATACTCTAAGCGGAAGTCAGTGATAGCAGGCCTCCCTTCCAAAGAGCATGTCTAATCACAGTAGTAATACGTTTAAATCATATTAATGGTTGCTAAAGATTTTGAGATCGGATGTTCAGTCAAGAGGGAAAAATAAGGGAGTTGGGCTTATCCTTAACCATCCTCAGAATTTCACTGTCAGATACTTTCCCTGGCCCCTGGGAGGCCTTGTCCTGTGAACTCCTGGTGATTGGCCAGTGGCTTTCTGAGCAAAGATGGGTCAGGTGAGGGAGGATTCGACAAATGCTCCATGGCCAGAGAATTCCCCCTCTCATAAGATTCACTAAACAAAAAGTTTCATTTATTGTCCCGCTCCCTGCATCATGCACACACATACCTGCATGATGCGCGCGCGCACACACACACACACACACACACACACCAGGCTTGGGACTTATCTTCACTGTGGGAGTGACTTTGTTGCTGAGTCAAAGAGAAGACTCAGAAGCTTTCTTTTAGTTTTTTCCACGAACCACTGGACCTAGTCCAAGGCATTGGGCCCATGTCAGCCTGGGGAAGTCTTTTCTGAGCTGGCTCAGATTTTTAGAATCCAAGCTGCTTGCTGCTGGGCCATAGTCCAGCTCATCACTCCTCCAGGAAGTTGAGTCCCTGCTGCAGTCTTCTTCAGTCCTCCTCCCTGGCCGAGAGTCCAGCACAGATGATGTGGAAGCCACCTCCTTCCTGGCTGTATCGTTTTGATTAGTCATTCCACCTTGGCTCTATCTCCCTCTGGTAACTTTCCACCTACACGCTGTCCTCCCCCCAGGCTCCCTCATCCTCCCTGGGTCTGGCTGACCTGGAGCACATGGCCACTCATTCCTTCACTGACACTCTGGCCTCTGGAACATACACCCGCTTCCTAAGCTCAGCAGTGCTGCTCCCATGGTCTTCCTGAGGAGCCCCAGGGGGGAAGGAAAATGTTCTCATCTCCCAGGGATTTCAGGGTGTCTGCCTTATGCAGCCTCTGCAATCCCCAGTGGCCAAATTTTGCAAAAAAAAAAAAACCCAAACAAACCAAAAAATAAATAAGATGAGGACTGAAAGGTGCCATGGATTTAGTCATTAATGGGTCACTGGTTACCTTAGCACCATTTTCAGGGGAGGGACTGAGAGATAAATGGAGATGGAATTGGGATGAAAAAGGAGAGAGACATGACAACTGAAGCAGGAGACATCTTGTCAGAGCGTGGCAAGTACAGAGGTCTCTGCAGGAGACTTGGACAGGCGGAGTTACACACAAGGAGCTGGTGGTGAGGTCAGCAGGAAGTGAGGGGGCGTGTCCGGGGTATCTGCTCTTCTGTAATGCTGGTGGTGCTGCAGCATTCGCCTCTGAGGACCTTCTTGCTTTGGGTTATTGTGGTTCATTGTTGCCGGGGCGGGTGACAGGGCTCTGTGTGCAGTGCTTGGGCCTTGGGCCTGGGGAGTGTAAGGGTTTTGCCTGGACAGCCTCAGGGAGTCATCCAGAGCACTGGCTTAGCTCCCTCCAGGGAGAAGCAGCAGCAGGGCCATGTCCAAGTGGGCTTAGTCCTACCTTTGGAACCTGTTTCCTGTTGAGGACACGACATCTGCTTACAGGTTGTGGTTCTCAGAGTGTGGTGTCCGAACTAAGCAGCAGCAGCAGCATCTTGAAAGGCCACATTCTCAGACCCACCCCGGACATACTGAATCTGAAACTCTGGGGGTGGCGCTCCACATGTGCATTTCTAACGAATTCTCAGGTAATACTGCAGGTCCACACTTTGAGAACCACTGGCTGGGAGAAGCTAAAAGTGGCTTCTCCCTTGAGTTATAGGCAAACACTGACACGAGCAGGCCCAGCCAGGACTCACTGGGGCAGCGATACCCTGGGCTCAGGCTGTCCCATGGAGAAGATGCTTGCTGTCCCTGAAGACAGAGAAATGAGGCCTCAGTGCTGAGCAAAGCTCCCCAGGGTCATGGCAGGGTCTTGGCAACCTGCTTGGTGGGCAGGGGATACTCTGTCTTTTTGCAGGTGTTTGACCTTGGGCAGGTGACCAACATGGCACAGCCTCAGTGTCCCCGTTTGTGGAGTGAAGTTTCCTGACTGGGGGATCATATTGACTTCAGGGACCTTATTTAGTATTAAATGTTCCACCTTAGAAAATTGGGGCCACCTCTCCTCTCCCCCATTCATCTTCCCTCCCTAAATAGTCACCCTTTAAATCCAAAACACCATAGATTCCACCATAGATCCCCTGTCTCACAGATAGAAAAGGTCTCTTGGTTGCCGCCAGTAGAAAGTCTAATTCTGCAGTTGGGTCCAATGCCCTGGGCATCTCCTTCCTGGCTCCAGACCTGCCAGCCTGCTGAGCAGTCCCTTCACATGATAAATTGGACAAGCTGTCTAGACAGTACGTGATCTTCTATGCGTTTTACTCCAAGTGACAGCAGAATGATGTCACCACCCCTCGTGCTGGGGGTGTGTCCAGTACCAGGCAGTCAGGGGGAGTCACGGGACACGAAAGGCTTTCTCCAGCCAGTGCCTGTGTTCCCTGTCAGGTGACATCCCCCGCTGCAGTGAAGTGGGTGACAGATGTCAAAAGGGGCAAGTCCAGATAAACCCCACAGCCTGTCTGGGAAGGAAAAGAAAGAGAAAACCATCTTTCTCATCTTGTCTCTCCTCTGCAGGGGAGCGGCCTGGGGCGGTCTCTGCTCTCCGTATGGCCACTCTGTCATCCCCGTGCATTTTGAACGAGAGCCTAAATCTGATTGCTCAAGATGCTCTCTTCTTAAAAACAAAAACAGCTCTTCCTCCACCCCTCTCTGCTCTGGCCCCTCTTCCTTCCAGCACAGCCAAGCTTCTCCACAGAGCTTGTACTCTTGCTGCCTCTGCTTCATGTCCCTCTCCTCCTCGGTTCCCGGACACTTGGCCTCTGCCCCACCCCTTGTCTGACATTCTCTCCCTTGGGCCACCAGCGACCGCTGAACCACTGGGTGCCAAGGGTCCATTTCAGCCCTTATTTTTCTTTTTTGTTGTTGTTGTTGTTTGTTGTTGTTTTTGTTTTTATTAATTAATTTTTGTTACAGATGTTTCTCCTCCCCCTCCCTCCCTGCCCTTTCCCCAGTTTGTTGTCCCTGTCCACTGTTCATGCATACATGCATATAAGTTCTGTGGTTAATCTCTCCCCCACCACCCTCCTATTTAGGGGATTGTCAGTCTGTACCCCACTTCTGTGTCTCTGGGACTACCCCCTTCCTCAGACTGTTATGTTCATTATATTCCACAAATAAGTGAGATCATATGAAACTTGTCTTTCTCTGTTTGGCTTGTTTCACTTAGGATGATACTTTCCAGGTCCCTCCATGTCGTCTCAAAGGATGAGATCTTTCTTTCTTACCGCTGCGTAGTACTCCATTGTGTATATGTACCACAGCTTTTTTATCCATTCGTCTACTGATGGACACTTGTCAGCCCTTATTTTTCTAGCGTTCTCTGCTGTGTCTGGCACAGCTGACAGCCATGGCTTCTGGAAAAGCTGTCCTTGTCTCCTGGGCTTCCTCCAACCTCTCTGTTTCGTCTTTGCCTTTTCCATATGCCACTCCTGGCCCGCTCACCCCTTAATAACAGTGACCCCAGGGCCTGGCCTTAGTCAATGCCCTTCTCACTGAGGACAGTTTCCTCTGCACTGCATCTGCCCCTCGGCCTCCACCTGTACTTCTGTGCAGATGAGCCCCAAACCAAGGCCTGGCCAGCCCCTCCTCCGCACTCCTGACCTTTTATCCCGCTTGGATGGTCTGCGGGCATCTCGAACCCAGCAGATTCGAAACCAGATTGATGAGCTTTCCCCAGACCTCTCCTCTGCCTATGCTCCCCTCCCCTGAGAAGTGTCCACCTGTCATAGAAAATTGGAGGAGCAGATGAGGAATTGGATATAGAGAAAGAAGAAAACAAAAAGTCCACAGTCCCAGCCCACAGAGGCAACTTTGTTGACTGTTTGGATGAACTGGTTTTAATGTCCTTTCAATGGTTTTAATGTCCGATTCTCCCACTTAACATTTTACCATAAGAATGTTCCCATGGTATTACCGACTCTGAGTAACTTATTATTTTGAAACTGTTTGGAACAGATAATACGTTTCATCAGAACAAAAGGGGATATGGTAAAAAGTGAGTCTCCCTCCCGCCCCTGACCCCCAAGTCCCCCAGTTCCCTCTCCAAGGCAACTGCCATTCCCAGGCGCTTGGAGACCCTTCTAGTGATATTGCGTGTCCACACAAGAGCACACGCAGCGCCACCCACCCTTTTGACACACATACTAGCAGCCTGTTCTACACCTTCCCTTTCTCATTGGACCACCTGTCTTGGCAGTCATTCCATAGCTGCCCAGAGAGAACCCCCTGTTCTTGCTTCCCGACTTCAGCGCCCCACTGTGTGGCCGCACATCAGGCTATTGAACTCGCCCTCCGCTGAGACACGGTTACATTGTTGCCTGTCCTGGTGATTGTAAACCAGCCTGCGGTGAGGCAGCCCTGGGCTGGGCCCTGGTCCGGGATGAGGCGGTGGATGCGAGAGGTGTTGAAGGGGGAACTGGTGAGGCTTGGAGTGAGGGAAGAGAAGTGACAAGCCTGGTAATAGGGAACAAGGTGACAAGAGGAAATGCCGGTTGCAGGTCCAGGAGGAATCTCATTCTTAGTGATCTGAGGGGCCCCAGAGCACAGGAGGGAGGTTAAGTCCAGAGTCCTGGCCACGGGTGAGCTCACAGCGGAGGATGGACACTGTGCAAGGAGGTAGGCCCTGAGCCCCCACAGCCTGAGAGGCAGACATCTATACCATTTTACAGGTGATAAAAAGTGGCAGACTCAGGTCTTGCCTCTCTACCACAGCACAGGCCTCGTCTGTGGTGAGGGGAGGAAGAGGGATGGCTGGGTGGATGGTCAATATTTAGTGGAGAAAGACATGCCTCCAAAGAGGCCACATAGGTGATTCCGTGGCAAGGCCTTGGACGGAAAGGGCTGTCTAGTGTCTCCGAGGCCCTGCCTGGTCCCCTACCACCTGCTTGCCTCTGAACTAGGGCCTCTCCTCTTTCCTGACAGGTTCTGCCCATCATTGTTTTCTTCAGCTGTGTCATGTCAATTCTCTACCACGTGGGCCTCATGCAGTGGGTGATCCTGAAGGTGAGTCCCAATGCCTCGAGCTGGTTCTCCCAGAGACACCTGGGAACAGGGCTCACACTCTCCCAGAATGCCTTGCTCCCAGAGCTCAAACCCTCCCTCAATCCCCTGCTCCCAGTGTCTACACCTTCTCAAATCTACTGCTAACCAAACATCTTTTCCATCTTTTCAGAGTCTCTTGTCATAATACTAAGCAGAAATGGTACCACAAGCCAAGGTGATCTTGGTAGGAGGGAAGTTTGTAGAATTGAGGCTGCTTTGAGAAGAAATGTTAGCGAGAAAAATAATGGAGACCAAAAAGATCTCGGGAGACTGGAGCAGGGGCCATATTGGCCAGACTTAGTTAGTGTAAATGTCAAATCCTGTGCTTCTGATCAGAAAATCTGCTGCACGAAACCAGGATGCAGGAGACAGCATTGGACCTGGCAAAAGATGCTGAGCGTTTAACTGGCTGAGCTCAGAATAAACCCACACCACAAGGTGGCTGCCAGAAATGCAGAAACTGCCTGTGGTTATGTTAAGAGTTTACAGACTGTGGCATGAGGGAGGCAATGATGCCCACATCTGGAGAACATGCTTAACCAAGGGGCTACGACAAACTGAACCATCAGCGGGAGAGTGGAGGATTGAACACGGTACCCTCCACAGAATGACTGGAAGAAGTAGGGATGAGCAAAAGAAGGCTAGGGTGGAGGAGGCTGTGGAGGATAGCTGTCTCTAAATACACAGAAAGTGCCCTGGCCAGTTTAGCTCAGCAGTTTGAGTGTTGGCCCGTGGACCAAAGAGTTGCAGTTTGATTCCGGCCAAGGACACATACCTGGGTTGCGGTTCGTCCCTGGCCCTGGTCGGGATCATGCAGGAGACAAACAGTCGATGTGTCTCTCTCACATGGATGTTTCTCTCTCTCTCTCTCTTTCTCTTCCTCCCTCCCTCCCTCCCATTCTGTCTGGAGATAAATGGAAAAATATCCTCGGGTGAGGATTAAAAAATAAAATAAATAAAAAATAAATTAAATTTAGGGAAATTAGGGAAGGGGCAGCCTGAGAGGTACAAGCAGTGAGGAGAAATTCCAGGGAAACAGATTTCATTTTGATTGAAAGGAAGAGTTTCTTTTCTTTTCTTTTTTTTTTTTATCCTCACCCGAGGATATTTTTCCATTTTTTGTACAGATAGAGCGGGAGGGAGAGAGAGGAAGGGAGAGAGAGAGAGGAACATCGATGTGAAGGGACACATCGAGTGGCTGCCACCCACACGACCAACCAGGGCCGGGGACAAACTGCAACCAAAGTACGTACCCCTAGCGGGAACCGAACCCGGGTCTCTCCGGACCGCAGGCTGACGCTCTAACCGCTGAGCCAAACTGGCCAGGGCGAAAGGAAGAACTTTCTAATAAAGTGTTTCCAAACCTTTTTCATGAAACTCTAGTTCTGCAGCAGGTTAACAAATGCTACTAGGTAAAGGGATTCCATGGTCAAATGATTCTGTGAAGCTGACCAATTTAAAAAGGTATTGTACAGCACTTCCCAGAGCCTTCGCTGGGCTAATATATATTAGTTCTCTCCAAGGGGTGTGGGTATAGTGACTCTCAAATGTATTTGACCAAGGAATCCTTTTCTCATGGATTGTAAGCCCCCCCATCAATGGAGGTTTGAAAGGAGAAGATGAATAGACCTTTTGGAGGGAATGTAGGTGGGAGTTGGGAGTTGGGAGTTGGAAGGGGGACTTGTAAGGTAATTCCACCCTGGACTCTACCTGCCTCTGGGGCTTGCTGATGCTGGCCACCAAGAGTACCCGCTTCCTTCTAGATCGCCTGGCTAATGCAGGTCACCATGGGCACCACCGCCACTGAGACCCTGAGTGTGGCTGGAAACATCTTCGTGAGCCAGGTGGGTCCTGCAGCGTCCTGCTCTCATGCTCCTCGGCCGTCTTCCCAGAGACCAGCCGCCCCGGTCCCTGGGGCTCTGCTTCAGTCAGCGGAAGAGCCATATAAACCTTCCTGCGGGGTCCCCAGAGGCGATGCCCCAGGGACGCTCATGTGGGCTGCCCCGTGCCTGGGTCATTCCAGGGAGTGGTATTGTCTGGCATCTCCTACTGTTCTAGGCCTAGGCCGCCTTCAGCTTAGGGACTCACAAATCTCAGAGATGGAGTCCAACTTTGTCCTTTTGTACATGAGGAAGCTGAGGCTCAGTGGTGGGGATGACTGGCTAGGATCCCACAAGATGAGGCAGGACTTAGAATCCTGTTTTGTTTTTTTATTCTGACCAGGGTTCTTTCCACCACATCATTTTGTCTTTTTTTTACCCCTCTTTCTGAAAAAGTGTTTTTCAAAGTAAATGTGACTCTGAAGGCACTATCAGTCTTAAGTCCCTTTCAGAAGGCCCGACCCTCCCAGGGTGAGTCTCTGCAGACCGCTCCAGGAGTCGGGCCCATCTGAGTTACCAAGAGACATACTTGCCCTTCTTCCTGCGACCCCCAGGCTTCAGTAAAAGTTCAGGCCTGGAGTTACATCTGCTCCTGGCCCTTTGCATGAGAAGAGGTCATTTTTTGAACCTCTCTTATCCTCTGTTTGCTCTCCTGAAAAGTGGGGATGATCTCTTCTTTCTCAGAGGTTGTAAGTAATTAATGTGAGGTGCTTAATGGGGTGCTTGGACGTGGTAGGCACTTGACACGGCAGCATCATCAGGCCGAGTGGAAGGACTGGGGGTCCTTGCCCAGGGCCAGGCTGACACTGATGTTCAGAGAAGTTCAGTCAAGTACAGACCACCTTCTGTCTCTTCCCCTGGGGGCCCCCAGCACTCACTGTGACCTGCCCACTCCCGGGGGGTGGAGGAAGGAACTCCCCAGGTGCCTGTGCCAGCCTGACCGGTTCTGTTTGTCTGACATCTTTTTCGTTTGTAGACCGAGGCCCCTCTACTAATCCAGCCCTACTTGGCAGACATGACCCTCTCTGAAATCCACGTTGTCATGACCGGGGGCTATGCCACCATTGCTGGCTCCTTGCTGGGTGCCTACATCTCCTTTGGGGTATGAACGCATTCTTGATGGAAGTATAATTTGCTGTAATTTTTTCGGAGGGCATCTATCAGCCAGTTTTAAAATAGTTCCCTTTGATCTAGTTAGGAATATTATGATACAGAAATATTTCCACAAGTGGTCAGAAAATTCAAAATTCTGTTATTATTTGTAGTAGAAAAGCAAAACAAAGTACGAAACAACCTAAGTGACAAGCAGTAAGGGCATGAGTTGGGTAAATGCATCCGTATACAATGAGCGCAATGCCGCTAAGTCCTAGAGTGAGGTAGGCCGTGGTCTGCCTTTCCCTGTCCCAGATGCTGTGTGTGCAAGAATCGGGGTATGAGAGAATGACACCCACTGTCCTCTTTTCTGGTCCCAAATTCCACTTCTCAGCTCTGTCCTTGAAGGGTGGCCAAGGAGGGGCTTGAGGCCAGGCCAGGCGGCCCCTCAGTCCTTCCTTCCCTCAGGTCCCTGGGCTGCATTTGTGAGCTCAGCGCCACGTCCCGCAGAGCATGCTGGGCAAGAGGCAGCTGTGCCTTTCCCAGAAGGCCTCTTGTCCTGGTCTTCCGGCCTGGCAGCCTGCCCCCTAGAACTTTAGAGGTCGCCTTATCTCATGGAGGCTTAGGAAAGGCCCATCAGAGCGGGTACACCTCCCCCACCCCCACCAATGGATTTAGGAAGGAGTTTGATATTTCAAAAATGCAAACTCAAAGCTGTTCCTGGTGACGTATTAGGGGAAGGAATACCATAATATTTTCAGGACTTAGGGCCTTTGACTGTCTTAACCTTGTTCCAGGGCTCACAGCCAGTCGAGAGATGGTGTTCTTTCTACTGCATGAGCATGGCTGCCCCTGAAGACTAAATCCTGGGAAAACTCTGTCCCTTTTCTATAATCTGCCTTACAATTCATCCTACTTTCTTCCCCTTTCTCAGGGAGGAGCCCAGGGTAGCCCCAGGCAGCAGGGCCTCCCCACTGAAGGGGCCCACTTTCCTGTAGCTCCACAGAATGTGCAGAGGCTGCGGGATCAGCCAGGTGGCTATGGGTCTCCATTCACAGCCTATGGTCTGGCTCCAAGGCTACCACCGTAGCCGGCCCAGGTGAAAAGCGCCTACGTAAGGAGTCTGGTATCAGAGAAGCTCTCTTCTGCCCCCACCTGGCCCTTGGCTGCCATTGCAGCAGCCCTAGGACCCCTAGACCAATTTCTCCTCACCCTCTCCCTTTGTCCTCACTGGCTCTGTCCTCAGCCCCTGAAATCCAGGAAGATCCCTCTTGTTCTGTCTTCCTTTCTCTCTGTTGGTCAGCTTCTGTCTCCCTTCGCCCTACACCCCTCCTATTGCGAATATCTGGGTATTTCTAGACCTGCGCTGTCCAACACAGCAGCCATTGGCCACACGTGGCTGGCTATTGAGCACTTTACATATGGCTGGTCTGAAATAAGATCTGCTATGAGAGTTCTTTTTTTTTAATCCTTACCCAAGGATATTTTTCTATCTATCTTCAAATAGAGTGGGAGGGAGGGAGGGAGGAAGGGAGATTGAAACATCGATGTGAGAGAGACACATCGATTGGTTGCCTCCCACACAACCCTGACCAGGACCGGGGACTGAACCACAACCGATGGACGTGCCCTTGACCGAAATCGAACCCACGACTCTTTGGTCTGCAGGCCGACGCTCTAACTGCTGAGCCAAACTAGCCAGGGCAGATCTGCTATGAGACTTAGTATGGAAAAAAAAATTAATATATTTTAAAATAAGTTTAATATTGATTACATGGATGGAAAGATAAAATTTGGATAGATTGAGTTGAATAAAGTATATGATTAAAATTAATTTTACTTGCTTTTTATGTGTTTATTTTTTTTACTTTTCATTTTTTTAATTGGCCACTAGAAACTTTAAAATCACAGATGTGGTTCCCACTATATCTGCACTGGACAGTGCTGATCTAGACCTCGGAGGTCCCAGGGGTCACTTGACTGAATCCTTTCATGGTGCCTCCACATACCTCTCCCTTTCACCATATTTCCAAAAAGCCCCAAAACAGTCACTAGCTCTCTCTGCTAATCCCGGAAACTGGTCTCTCTATACACCCCCCTGGTTCAGGAGCCACCGAGAGACGAGGTTTAGATGTGTGTCTGGAGCTGTGAACACAGGCTGTGCAGGGTGACATTGGGGGGCCGCCACTGATGCCCCTTAGTCAACGGTGCAAGAGTGGGAGCCCCTGGGCAGGGTCTGTGGGGTCCTGAGCAGGGCCAGTGGTGACCTACCGGTGGGGCTGCACTGCTTGGCCCCCACATGTCCTCCCTGTTCTCCCCCTCGCAGATTGACGCGGCCTCCCTGATTGCTGCCTCTGTGATGGCTGCCCCCTGTGCTTTGGCCCTGTCCAAGCTGGTCTACCCGGAGGTGGAGGAGTCCAAGTTCAGGAGTGAGGAGGGAGTGAAACTGAGCTCCGGGTGAGCACAGTAGGATGCGTGCTGGTGGGGGGCTGGGGACAGGAGCAGAGGCGGGGGACCTTTCCACCAACCCTGGGCCCACCTCTCTGCTTAAATTGCCCTCTTTTGTGGCTTCACTTAGAAAAATGCAGACTCCAGTTCTTATATCTTAATTTCCATTCTCGGACCAGAAGGACACAATGGATTGCTCAAGGCATGAGAGAGTGACCTGGGTCTTAGGGACATGGCCTGGTGTGTGTATGGTGAGGGTCATGGAAGGCTGCATGCCACCTTCTCCACATGCCTTGGACTCTGACCTCCAGTATGTCAATCACATATTAACATACTGAGCATGGTTCTGGATTTCACTCACCTCTTAACATCGCTTCATTACAGTATTAATAGCTGTTGTGTAACATCTGATCCTTTAAAAACATGGAAAAGGTGCTGCTTTCGATAAATGTGCTTGGGGATACAGTACCCAGTCCCAACCTCACAGCTTCCTGAAGGCCCAGAGCAGCACTGCCCCTTATAGAAACATGCTGTGAACAACGCCTTTGACTTTACATTTTCTGGTCACTGTCTTAAGAAAAGTATAAAGAAGCAGGTGATTTTAATAAAATATTTTATTTAACCCAACATATCTAAAATATTATTATTTCAACATTTTATTAAATGATTGTTTTTATTTTTATTTATTTTTTTTAAATTTTTTTCCTTTATTGATTTTAGAGAGAGAAAAAGTGAGAAGGAGAGAGAGATAGAAACATCAATGAGAGAGAACATCGATTGGCCACCTCCTGCATGCCCCTCACTGGGGATTTGGCTTACAGCCTGGGAATGTGTCCTGACTGGGAATCGAACCCGCGACCTCTTGGTGCAGGGTCAGTGCTCAACCACTGAGTCACACCGGCTGGACTAAATGATTGTTTTTATATTGATGTTTTGTACTAAATCTCTAAAACCTAGTGTGTAATTTCTTCTTACAATATATCTCAATTCCGAGCAGTGTCCTTTCAAGTGTTTAAAAGCCCCATGTGGCTAATGGCTCCTGTCATGGACAGCTCTGCATTGGAAGCCTGGGTCTAATCCTGGTGCTGGGACCATCCCCTCTCTCTCTGGGTGTCAGAGGGAAAACAAGGACCTTTGGCTCTGAAACACATTGTCCAGGGTTCTTCTCTAACCCCCATAGGATGAGAGGCCCTGCTGTTTTTGGGGACAGGCCAATAAGTGGCTCTTGATCCCAACTACAGAGATGCTCAGAATCTCATAGAAGCCGCCAGCAGCGGGGCCGCCATATCGGTGAAGGTTATTGCCAACATCGCAGCCAACCTGATTGCCTTCCTGGCTGTGCTGGCCTTCATCAACGCTGCCCTCTCCTGGCTGGGGGACATGGTGGACATCCAGGAGCTCAGCTTCCAGGTACAGTCTGGCTGGCCTGCAGGGCCTGTGGAGTGGGCAGTCCTGGGCAGTGGGTGGTGGGTGGCCCCCCCTAGCAGGGCCCAGGCCAGCCCAGGTCTCAGCAGTTCCTCTTGCCTTGTGTCTCAGCTCATCTGCTCCTACATCCTGCGGCCTGTGGCTTTCTTGATGGGCGTGGCCTGGGAGGACTGCCCGGTGGTGGCTGAGCTGCTGGGGATCAAGCTGTTTCTGAATGAGTTTGTGGCCTATCAGGAGCTGTCCCAGTACAAGCAGCGCCGCCTCGCTGGGGCTGAGGAGTGGGTCGGCGGCAAGAAGCAGTGGATCTCCGTGAGTGTCCCAGGCCCCTCCCCGAGGCAGGGGCGTGACCTAGCTGCTCTCCCTGCTCCCTGGGCCCTGCATTCAACCCTCATATGCTACTGCCCTGGGCTCCGGACGGCTTCAGGCTTCACTGCCGTCACCTTGAGACCTCTCAGGAGGCTGAGGCGTGGGGAAGGAGCCCTGTGGAGACATCTGAGATCTAGCTGTAGATGGGCCACTGTCCTGTGGCCTGGGGCCAGCCGTTGCTCCTTGCCTCTCCTATTGGAAAACTGGTGTAGCACCTGCCCTGTCTACCCCAAAGGAGTGGGTGTGAGCCTCCAGGGAGCGACCTCACCACCATGTTTACTGTCAGTGTGTTGCATTCAGCTCCAGGGTTGGCTCTTTCCGTTAAAGTTTATTTATAAAACTGTAAAAGCTCTATAAAACGAACCTTTCTAAAGGAATAAAAGCTCTAGCCCTGGCTGGTTTGACTCAGCGGTTAGAGCGTCGGCCTGCGGTCCGGGGAGACCCGGGTTCAGTTCCCGCTAAGGGCATGTACCTCGGTTGCAGTTTGTCCCCGGCCCTGGTTGGGTTGTGCGGGTGGCGACCACTCGATGTGTCCCTTTCACGTCAATGTTTGTCTCTCTCTCTCTTCCTCTCTCTCCCTCCCGCTCTATCTGAACAAAGAATGAAAATATGTCCTCTGGTGAGGATAAAAAAAAAAAAAAAGGAATAGAAGCTCTATGTAGCATCATCTGGAATGAAAGTTACCTGTCTCATCATCCTAAAGTAACAGTGATTGTTGTTCTATATTTTTTCTTCTATTTCTTTAAAGAGAGTATATATAGTTTGTTTGTTTTTTAAATCCTCACCCGAGGATATTTTTCTATTTATCATCAGATAGAGTGGGAGGGAGGGAGAGAGAAGGAGAGGGAGAAACTTTGACGTGAGAGAGACATATTGACTGGTTGCCTCCTGCACGACCCAACCAGGGCCGGGGATGAACTGCAACCTAGGTCCGTGCCTTTGACCAGAATCGAACCCGCAACTCATTGGTCTGCAGGCTGATGCTCTAACTGCTGAGCAAAACCAGCCAGGGCGAGAGTATATATAGTTTTAATTTTAGTATCCAAACTGTATTTTTTCTAATTTTTAAAATTGATTAATTAATTTATTTTTGTTACAGATGTTTCTCCTTTTTCTTCCATTGACACACTCCTCCCTGCTCCCATCCCCCCTCCTTCACCATGTTGTTGTGTATGTCAGTTGGTTATGCATCTAAGTTCTTTGGTTTATCTCCTGTAGCCAGCTTTTATTCTCACCTACTATTATGACATAAGCATCATGTTTTATATCTGTAGCCTCACACATTTAGCCCACTCCCTGTTGTCGGGCCATTCGGATTCATTCTGTTGGGCGATTATACATGAAGCTGCAAGAATAAGTTTTGTACAGAACGTTTCCCTGCTCTGCGATCCTTTCCTCGGCAGCTTTCCCAGATGTGATGACGGAGTCACATGGCATGAGTCCTCCTGCGGTTGCTGCCAGGAACTGTCCCAAAGGGGTGTAGCAGCTGAACTCACCCCCCGCTGTGCCTGTGCGCACTGACTTCACCACACATTGAACAGCTTCGAGTAGCTTAAAAGAAGAAGTTCTGCTATTTGAATGGGCAAATAAGAGCTCGTTGTGTTCATGTGTGTTTCTTGGGTTACTAGGAACTTTTAACGTAACTTTTTTATTGTCTTTTAAGTTTTTTTTTAGTTGTGAAGGAATGTACTCTTTTTTTTTTTTAATGTTTGTATGAAGTAAGAAGCACAGATTCCCCCTCATCTCTAGCTCCTCATCTCTAGCTCCTCTCCTCTCTCACTCTCTTCTGTACAGATAATGGATGGTACATTCCTTCAGCATCATTTTTTAAAATCGTCATCAATATGTTGATTGATTTTTAGACAGAAAGGAAGAGGGAGGGAAGGAGGGAGAGAGAACGAGAGAGAGAGAGAGAGAGAGAGAGAGAGAGAAATCAATGTGAGAAGAAACATCAACTGGTTGCCTCCCAAACTCCTCTGGACTGGCGATCAAAACCACAGCCTAGGTATGTGCACTGCCTGGGACTCAAACCCACAACCTTTTGGGGTATGGAATGATGCTCCAACCAACTGAGCCACCTGGTCAGGGCAGGATCATTTGTTAATGAACTTCATTCCTTCAGCAAGTTTTTTTATTGATTGATTGATTTTAGAGAGAGAGAAAGGGAGAAGGAGAGAGAGATAGAAATATCAATGTTTAGCCCTGGCCAGTTTGGCTCAGCGGTTAAAGCGTCAGCCCGTGGGCCAGAGAGACCCGGGTTCAGTTCCCACTAAGGGCACGTACCTCGGTTGCAGTTTGTCCCCGGCCCCGGTTGGGGTCGTGTGGGTGGCAGCCACTTGATGTGTCTCTCTCACATCAATGTTTCTCTCTCTTTCTCCCTCTCTCCCTTCTACTCCAATTGAAGATAAATGAAAAATGTCCTTGGGTGAGGATAAAAAAATATATCAATGTTTATCCATTCCAGTGATCTAGAATTAATTTTTTATATGATATGAGGTATGAATCTAAACCAATTTTACCCCCCAATAACTGTTCAGAGCAAAAGAGAAGGAGAATTACTTTACTTAAACATGTACTGTGTGCCTGGTACTTTCCACATATGGTATGGTCCCCGCAATGCCCTTCCAGGCTGGTCCTGTCATTCCCCATTCCGGATGGAGAGACAAAACGTAAGAGCTATTGACCTTCTCAGCCTGACCATTACCTGGGGGCAAGCCTGGAACCCAAGTTGGCGGGACTCCACGTCCCTCACGCCCTTCACTAGGCCACACTCTCTCCACCCTCAGCAGACAGCACCCTCAGAGCTCTTGGCCTGCGAGGTTCTCGGGAGACATAGGGCAAGACTGCAGTGTCGGGAAGGGGCCATTCACCCAAGTGCCCCCAGGGTGTAGGACTGAGCAAGCCTGAATCACACCCAGACAGGCTGGTAATGAAGCTAAGCAGGTTGAAGGTGCTTGAGGTGGTACAACTGAGAGGTGAGTGTGCAAGACCTGGGAGGGGGCAGCACCAAGTGCTCCCAAGGTCAAAGGCACAGAACAAATGGGTGATTGAAGGCTAGGGAACCAGGTGGTGTAGAGTCCTCCCATCCCATCTGAGGGGAGGCCCTCCTCACTCATCTTCTTTAAATAATTTTTTTTTCTATGTATCTTCAGATAGAGTGAGAGGGAGAGAGAGGGAGTAAAAAGGAGAGAGAAACATCAACGTGAGAGAGACACATCAACTGGTTGCCTCCCGCACAACCCCAACCAGGGCCGGGGAACAAACCGCAACCGAGGTACGTGCCCTTGGCCAGAACCGAACCCACAACTCATTGGTCCACGGGCCGATGCTCTACCGCGGAGCCAAACTGGCCAAGGCCTCACTCATTTTCTGTGATTTCAGGTCAGAGCAGAAGTCCTCACAACATACGCCCTCTGTGGATTTGCTAACCTCAGCTCCATTGGGGTCATGCTGGGAGGCCTGAGTGAGTCTTATGGGGGCGCCTGGGCATCCTGGATTATTGGGGACCTGGACTCTGCTGGCTATGAAACAACTTCCTGGGGATCCGTGGGCCTCAGTTCCCCTTTGTCTAAGGCAAGGCCTGAGGAAGATGGCTGTGGAGGTTCCTCCCTGCGGGGAGTTCCATGATTCCTCTGCTTCTGGAAGCAGCCCAGGCCAAGCGTGGTTCTGGGATCCGGTGAGGGACAAGAGGTGCAGTGCTGGCCTGTCCTCCGAGCCCTTGGCCTGCCGTTTCTCATACGCAGTGGGTAGGCAGGCGTGGAACGCCTCGGGAGGAAGGCTCTGCCTGGCTCTCAGCTCCCTGCAGAAACCATTTCCACTCTTCACGGTCCCCCTGCCTGGCGTCGTAACCACCCCACCTTAACCGCAGAGTAGGACACTGATTGTTGGAGAAGAGAAGTGATGGCCCAAGTCACTCAGCTAGTAAATGGCAAAGCCTGTGTTTAATCCCAGTTCTGCCTGACTCCAGACTCAGGTTCTTTTCCTACATCTGCCACTGGTGATGTGTGTGGGAGGTGTGGGTGCTACCTCGGGGCCTAAGTCAGGCCAAGGAAGTGACCCTGGACTCCCAAACTCAGCCAGAGTCAGGAGGACAATGTCCCCCCCCTCCCCCCCCCGGCCACCTTGAAGAGGACAGGAAGTAAGCCGATGCAGCCAGAGATACAGAGCATTGACAGAGAGGCCCATGGCCCCCTGACCCTGAGCGTTCCTGTCCCCTTGCAGCCTCCATGGCCCCCCACCGGAAGAGCGACTTCTCCCAGATTGTGTTGCGGGCGCTCTTCACAGGGGCCTGTGTATCCCTGGTGAATGCCTGCGTTGCAGGTGAGTCTCTGCCTGGCAGAGCCCTGATTTCCCAGCCAGGCTGGCCCTGGAGCTCTGGCCTCGTTGGAAGTTCCTGGGGGTGGGAAGTAGGGGATAGACCCTGCTCAGCGGCTGCTTTCCCTGCATAGGGATCCTCTATGTGCCCAGAGGGGCTGAGGTCAACTGTACCACCCTCCTGAACACGACCCTCAGCAGCAGCAGCTTTGAGTTGTACCAGTGCTGCCGCGAGGCCTTCCAGAGGTGAGAGCTTGGGGGATGCCTTGGGCCCCAGGGCGAGGGATGGGAATGTCATGGCTGTGGTTGATGTGGCCTGGGGAGGGTAAGCGAGTGGGGCTTGAGACTCCAACTTGGGGAGGAAAGGTGGACCAGAGACGTGGAGCAACTTTCCCAGGGTTGCACAGCCTTTGGCGGCCCGCAGAACCAGTCCTGGAGCACAGACTGCAGCCTTTGCTTTTTTTTTTCAGCACCAGCCCAGTGTTCGGCCCAGAGGCCCTGGACAACTGCTGTCGATTTTACAACCACACGATGTGTGCATAGTGGGACCGCATGCCTTTGTGCCTCCTGGGGGCGGTTCTTCCCCAGAGGCAGCTGACCCCACCTTTCCCTGTCCGGGCCTGTCCTCAGGGAAGCCACATGGGAGGAGCAGTGGGGGGACTGGGCAGAGGCTGAGAGGCTGTGTATGTGGATGAAGGACGCTCCCCACTCCTAACCCCCATGCTGTGAATGTGAATTCTCAGGATCACTTCTGCCTCCTCTTCTCTTCCCCCCATATCCGACGGCACCCTGGTCTTCTCTAGCCCCCTTCCCGCCATGGGCCTCTCACATACCCTTCCCTTTGCTATGATCCCTTACCCCTGGCATCCTGGCCCCCTTCTTTCCCCTTCTCTGGGTGCTTGGGGCTTACTGAGGTTTACCCCTGCCCATGGTTTCTCCTGGAGACCCCTCCCCTACTTTCAGAGACACCCCGTCGCTTTCTCTTTAGCACTTCCCAAACTGGTGTCCCGTGGAACACTGTCCCGCAAGGTGTCCAGAGCTTCCGTGGTCTGCTAGGTTTGGGGAACCCTGGGCTAAATAAAGTTAGACAGGTTTGGTTTATTCTTTCTTTCATTTTTTTTTTTTTTTTTAACTCTATACTTGTCAGAGCTTGTTATGGATGTGATAGGAGACATTTTCCAAATTTCTTTGACTGTAAGAACCTTTTTGATGGAAACATCTCTTCGATGAGGAGTCTCTGGAACACAATTTAGAAATGATTGATTAATGTCCAAACTACTTTACATAATCGTGTTAGTCACAGAACGTTGACACAGCACTGTGTGCCAGGTACTATTCTTGGTGCTTCATACATTCTAACTCAATCTTTACAACAGCCCTCTGAAGGCAGGGACTATTATTATCCCCAGGCGAGGCCCCGAGAGGTGACGTAACTTGCCCAAAGTGACTCAGCTGGGAGAGGAAAGGGGGGATTTGAAACCAGGCCACCCCGTTCTACGAGTCGTGATGCTCAGTGTCTTTGCTGGGCTGGTAGCAGCCACGGAACACTGCTGTGTACTTGCTCTCACCTCCTCCCCTGCCTTTCCTCCCCATCCCGGACCCTCTGATATGTGCCTGCCCGGAGCCTCATCTCTAGAGTCCTGTCATGAGCACACCCCCTCCTCCCCCCTTTGTCTCTGCTGCTCCTGTGTCAACCCTCAGTTCCCCAGCACCTTCGGCTGCGGTGACCCACAATACACCTGTCCCAGTGGTCACGGGGCCGCTGTCCTCTCCCCCGTCTGTCTGGTTGGGCTGCCCAGTAGGGGCCAGTGCTTGCCTCAGGCTGAAGGAATATGGAGCCTGGTCAGCACTCACCCTGCTCAGTCCCAGTCAGCCAGTTGCTGCTTCTGCTCCATCAGGGATTTTGGTTTTACCGGACACTGGCCTTGCTCCTTGCAAGCCCCGCAGGCTAGCTGGGGTCCCTGTCCTTAGGCCTGAGTGCTTCCTCTTAGCTCTGCACAGTGGAATCTTGGCCTGATTCGCATACCCATGGCTAGGCCCTTGGCTGGCTGGCTGCAGCACCCCACTTAGCCCCTGTCCCGCCCCAGCTCCTCTCAGGCTGTCACAGGACATCGCACTGCTGTGGACCTCATGGCTGGTTCCCAGTGTTAGACCCACACTAGTCCCGTCCCCGCATGACTGTTGGGTCTGGAGTTGGCGAAGGGCCCCCTGGCCCTCCTTCCCAGGGTTCCCCGCTCACCCGACACATGGCTGTGTCACTCCCAGAAGACTGTAAGCCCCGTGAAGACAGGGCTCAATACTCTGTCTCTTCTCACAGTGCCCAGCACAGTGCTGGGCCCGTGAATGTGCTGGGTACGTGCCTGTGGAACGGAACGGCCCCTTCTCTGAGCCGCCAGTGTGCACACCACTGTAGGGGGCTACATGTAATGTGGTGTTGCAGGGGGTCAAATCATGTGCCGGAAGAAATATGTGCAAGTCCTGACCCCAGGACCTGTGAATGTGAACTTATTTGGAAATAAGATCTTGCAGGTATAATTAAGCTAAGTATCTCAGGAGGAGAATACCCTGGATGTAGGACGGGCCCTAAACCCAGTGATTTATAAGAGAAAGGAGAGGGTGAGTTCAGACCCAGCGCAGAGACATACAACGAAGGCCATGGAAAGAGGGAAGCGAGATTGGAGTCATCAGCTCCAAGACATGACCCCCATGGGGACCATCCAAGGGATGCCTGATGCTACCCGAAGCTGGAGACGTGGAAGGATTCAGATGGAGCACGCCCCACAGATTTTGAACTTCTGGCCTCTAGAAATGCGAGAGAATAAATAAGTATTGTTTTAAACCACCCTGTTTATGGTAATTCACTATGGCAGCCCTGGGAAACTAATGCAGGTATTTTGAATGGGATCCTGGAATGGGAAAAGTGACCTTAGGGAAAATGAATTCAATCCAAAAAGTATGGAGTTTAGTTAATAACACCTTAATCTTGGTCTCTTAGCCGTAAGAATGTGCCATGGTAGTGCAGGATGCGAACACTGGAGGGAACTGGAATACAGGGGAATATATGGACACTGTGCGTTATTTGTGCAGCCTATTTGTAAATCTAAAACTAGTCTAAAATTTAAAAGTGAATTTTAAAACGTCATGGGGGAAGTCTGCATTGACACAGATGGAGTGTACCTTGTAATTCAGCTCGCGTGGGTGGTTCTGTCCTAGACAATGTGTGTCTCAGCAGGCAACCAACCAAGGCCTGTGAGTTGCCCAGTGGACTGTGTCTATTCCCTTCCCACCGCTTCTTCCCACGGCTCTGCTGTCATGTCTCCCATCCCTTCACTTTAACTCAAGTGTACACCTTCAGATGAATATGAAGTAGTCTGACCTCTTTACAACCACGTGAAGAGGATCATCTGCTTGGAATTGCTTTAGACTCAGAATGAATTCGCTCTGAGTTTGGACAGGGTCCTAACCATCATTTCGAGGGTGTCTACCTCTCCCAACTTTCCTGAGAATGCTTACACCCACCGTGCTCTGTCACCATGCTCTTAGGTTTGAATCATGAGACTCCACCCCCACGACCACCGCTGACTGAACCAGGACTGAACCCCTGACTCAGAGGAAGCCAGATCCATTGTCTTGCCAGTGGCCTTTCATATTCTTGAGAAAGAATTAGAACTGAGATAAAAGAAAAACACCAGAAACAGAGCTGGGAGCCGAGTCACCACAGTGGGGCTGGCCTAGAGCTGATGGCATGCCTACCCTTCTTGCAGCCAAGTTGCTTGGGTTTTCTTTGGATGCAATGAGAGCTGGGTGCTCTCCAGAAATCCCATCTAACCTGAGAAATGGAAGGTTGCTATGACTTGTAACCAAAAGGATACCGACTAAGAGAGCCACTCTGTTCAACTCCCCACTCCTCTTGGCACCAAGTGGGCATTTATCATTTGTTTGAAAACCATCAAAACAAGAACCTCACTGTCTTGTCGTGCAACCCATTTCGTACTGGACAGCTGCGCTCCGTAGACAGTTCCTTTTGATTTTGCATCAAAAAGCGTTCCCTTTTCATCCCACTTTTGCCATTCTGGGCCATCCCATCTCGTGTGTCTATCTTTATTGTTCCTTTTTTATTTACCAAAGTAATACTTGCTCGTGATTTTTAAAACGTCAAATCTTACTGACACCCTACAGAAGTGTTCTGATCCCTTTTCCACATGACAGCCCTTCGACGGTGTGAAGATGGTGACATCCGGGCGTCTCTTCTCTGGGCTGGGAGCCCTTAGTTCTACCCTTGTTTCTGACATAGTGCACCGTAATGTAAACATTTGCCCCAGACCTGAGTCTTAGTTGTTCTGCAATCAGCCAGAACACAAGGAGGTGAATATGATCTCACAGGCGTAACCAAGGGGTTGTGATGAGACCTAAGATTGCCTATAGCCACAGAAAGGTATTTAAAAGAGGTAGACCAGTAAGGAAGGAGGAGTGTTAAGAAGTTGCTTGCTTGCCCTGGCCGGTTTGGCTCAGCGGTTAGAGCGTCGGCCTGCGGTCCGGAGAGACCCGGGTTCGGTTCCCGCTAAGGGCATGTACCTCGGTTGCAGTTTGTCCCCGGCCCTGGTTGGGTTGTGCGGGTGGCAGCCACTCGATGTGTTCCTTTCACATCGATGTTTCTCTCTCTCTCTCTGTTCCTCTCTCTCCCTCCCACTCTACCTGAACAAAAAATGGAAAAATGTCCTCGGGTGAGGATAAAAAAAAAAAAAAAGTTGCTTGCTTGCTTCACAATCCTTTGAGGGCTTGCATGTTGAGGGTGAACCATGCATGAGGAGGAGTTGTCATTGAGGAAGAGAATGGGAGAAAGTCCTGGCCTAGATCACCAAAGCGACCAGGGATAGGACATGGCAGGAAAGGGGTGGGTGGGACCTTACGTTTTGGGACTTCTGCTCAGACTCCTGCTTACCCGCCATCAGGAACACAACACAGTCCTAACTTGCCCGGGGAGTGCTTTCTGTTCCCAGAAGGGGAGGGGAATTTCTGCTTCAGACCAAGTCCTGACAAAGATGTGGCAGGGTGGAGTGGAGTAACCACGCCCACAGACCTTGTGACCGGAAGTGAAGGGGCTGCCGACACAGTCGGGCTCGTATTCTACACTCGAAGACAAAAGCATCCAGGAGGGAGACTCTGAGAGTCAAGCCAGCCCTTGAGTGGAATTCTGGTTCCGATGTGGCAAAATATCCCAAGGAGCGAAGAAGGCAGAGGTGACAAAAGAAATCAACGTGGCTATAAATGAATTAGGAACCTGGTTTATAAGCTCAGAATTTTAAAGAAACAGGCCAAAGGACATGTGACTCAGTACAGGAAAGATAGCTGGTTGTCTTGCAAAAGTCATTCTCCTTCTTCCCCTTTAATAATAATTGATAGTCTAGATGGGCCACTGGCCACTGAGCGTAAAGACTATATTTCTCAGCCTCCCTTGCAGCTAGGTGTGTCCATGTGACTAAGGTCTAGTCCATGGAGTGTGGGCAGGAATCAAGTAGCGGCCTCTGGATCATGCCCTTAATGAAGGTGTCATCAAACTAGGCTGCTATAACACAATACCGCAGACTGGGGTGCTTAAACAATGAGGCCCAGATGAAGAGGCAGGCAGATTTGGTGTCTGGCGAGGGGGCTCCTCCTTGTTGGCAGAGGGCCACCTTCACGTGGCAGGGAGAGAGCGAGCTCTAGCCTCTCTTCTCATGAGGGCACTAATTCCATCACAGGGGAGTCACCCTTGTGACCGCATCCAAACCCAATTACCCCCCAAAGCCCCACCTCCAAATCTCATCTCATTGGCGATTAGGACTTTGACAGATGAAGTTTGGGGAGATACATGTACTCAGTCCGCAGTACTGGGTCATCAAAGGTCAGGCAGCTTTGGCCTTGTGCACTGGCATGCCCAGTCTTGGTACCCTGATCCACAGTGGAAGAGGTCTCACCACTCTGAGGCTGTTGTGTTGTGAAGAGGCCCGAGCCGCATGGAAAGTGATAGGTAGGCACTGAGTCAACAGTCCC